GGCGTCCTTTTCTCTTAACAGTTACTCGATTTCAAGTCTCTCTATCCTAATCTACGTAGATATTAAAAACACAAGAAGTATTTCTTCATACGTATGTATATTAAACGAGTGTCAAATTGTTTCTTAATTAGGAATAAAACCAAATGAAAGGATATCGATCAAATGTGTGAATTTGAGTCCAATTGCTAATAACTGTCTTGTATAAAAATATTCAAGCATAATAGCAAGAGCTAACAAAAACTATGACCAACTAGGAATAGCAAAATGTGAATTCTTACTGGTATACCCCTAATTTGAATGATTAAGAGAATGAGTTTGTTAAAACTTTAAGTATGTTCCATTTCTTAGACAATTTAAAATTCATCAAGTAAAAATATATTCATATAACCTTTAATACATAACTATTTTATAAATATGCACCCATACAGAGTGTTACCAAATGAACAAAATAAGAGAACAGAGCTCCAGAAACATGATTCTATGTACCCTCCTTTTTCTAAATTCTAGAATGGTCTGGCAGCTGTTTTAGACGATAAAAATATATACGTTATAAAACTATACATTGTGAATCAGACAAACCTTTTGGATAATCATTGTTACTGAACCAAGAAATGGTCTTAATTGCATTTCCTTTGTTTTAATACACAGTTGATACCAAGATATTTAACTAATACGGACATGTGCCTTACCAATTATTGTTCCTGCTGTATATTTTAAAAATGTTAATTATTAGACTATACACTGCTAGAAGTAAGGCTACATAGCAAACTAATTTGCTAATTTAAATTATTAATGCTCATAGTACCTCAAAATCAAAATAGAATACCAACTAGAAAAGTACTTCATACAAAAATCACTGATTCTATTAAAATGAGCCACTGAAATACAGCATCTTCTGAACCCAAGTTATTTCACTTTTCAAAGACAACACTATGTAAACTGTCCACACAGTGGATTCTTTTTACTGTGTGTGACTACAGACAAAGTAATATTTGGAAAATGAGGACAAAAATGCCACAACTGAACTACAGAAAGTGAAGTGGGACTCCTGTCTTAAGGATGACTTCCAATCTTTGTTCTTGTGAGGTTTCATATCAGTGTTACTTAGCAAGAAATGACATGGTGCTACTATGCCCGACCTTCTGCCTGACTTCACAGTAACATAGCTGACTACTTCTCTCTACTGATGAATTAATGCAGGGCTTTTCAACCTTTTTCAATAAGTGTACCCCCAGCAGCCGGATGGTTGACAACCCCTGAATTAACATGCTTACCCTTGTTCATACATTTACCCTATAATTATGTGTCAATATATTTGGGACTAAGATTAAACAGAATTACTGTATAACTAGGAGAATCTATGGTTAACTGACCTCTCCACTTGTTTTCAAGTTCTTAAATGGTATGCTCTCTCATAAAACTCTTCAGAAGTAATGAGTTACACACACAGGAGAGACAAAAGTAACATATAGGTATTTAATGGTATCATACACATCTGAAACCAAAATTCTATGACAAGAAAGAGTGATTGAAAATTAAGTTATGGGTCAAACAGACTCACAAAACACATCAGGGCTCTTAGCTACTTAGCCTTAAAAATCCTGTACTGAAAAATCTCAAGATCTACACAAATTACCATTCAGTTATATTCTATCTAAATTGCTAAACCAGTCTCTACTTATTATGGCATTCTTTAGTTCCTATATTGCGTGTGATGAACTACTAAACAGCTTCTGAGTATACCACTGAAGGATGACAATGTCTCTTCACACTACAGAGGACCTGGCGTGGTTTTTTATTTTAAACATATAACATGCTTCAAAGTACAACACTTGATTCTGTACACATGCTTTCAATTCAACAGGAAGCATTATATTTTCTCACACACAATACATCTCCAAATAGAACATGGACCTTGTTTTCAGAAGGGGGGAAATTTATTTTTTTCCCCCCAGACCTAAGGTCTACCACGTGACTCAACATTAAGTCCTCCTGGAAACAGACTGTTCAGGAACTGTAGAGTCAGGAACTTCCTGGTGCAACAGACTGTTTCCTGTAATGCCTCACTTCCTGGACACACTATGTTTCCAAGAGGACTTACTTACTGTTTGTCACACGTGGTTAGACCCCAACAATTTGCAAAAGTCGATAGGAAGACTGTTACTTGTCTGCTCTAAGCAGTTCTTTATTTAAGTTCCTGTAAAGGTTTCCACATCACAAACCTCATCAAGATATTACCAAAAGGTCACTTGCTGCTTTGGGCACAGCCAATAGCTACAGCTATGAAAGGGTTGACATAACATTCTGCTTCAAACACACCAGTAGCAGTCATTTTGGCAATGCATGCCATGCCCAGTGTCTTCAGCAATGCTCCTTTTCAGAAACGAAAATAGCTTCCCCACTGAAAGCATTATCACAATTTTGGGGAGGTTATTCTGGGAGGGAAAGATGGGATGTATGTGAGAAAATACGGTAGTCAGTGTTACAGAAGATATGCATCTTCTAAATTAATTTTTCATATTTCCCCAGGAAAAAAATGCAAAACAGATGGGCCTTTCACCATGCTTTTTAGTTCAACATATTCTGACTCTTCTTGAACAGATGGAAGCAAATTTCAAAGTTAAGGACTTCCACAGGAAATACTCTACTATAAGAATCTCAAATGAGTTGTCTTGCAAAACACTGTAAAGTAATCCAAATTACTGTGTTGTATGTGCAGTGAATCAGTCTGATATGGAGATGGAAGACCCTTTTTTTTAAATCTTTAAAACATTAAATTTAAACAAAAGAAGCCAGAGTAATCCTCGGTACCCATTGGTGCAGTGCTCCTTACTTTCAAACACAGTAAGCAATCAAGATGGATAAAGATACTACTACTCTGAAAGGTATCCAACGGCAAACCCTGGCTCCACTCCTACCATGCAGAATGGAGTCTCTCCATTAATCTAAGTGACTTGGATCCACTGTATTCACATGATCTGACCCAACCAAACATGGGTAACACTGGTAAGATACTAATTAAAAAAAAAGTCCCAACTGTTAGAGAAAGCATTTTACAAACTCATCATAAACAGATAGTAGGCACCACCTGAACTGCTTATATCACATGCTTGGGCATGAGGATTATTTAAGAGTTCCCATAAGAACCAAGAGTCTACTACTGATTATATGTTTTTAAACCATTCCTTTGGTGTGGACAGTTTGCAGCCACTGGTTATTATGCTTTTATCTAATAGTCTAAAAAGTGCTCTCTCTGTAAGTGGTATTGCCTTCCCATTTAAGTACTTACAGACCACGAATGACTATCCTCTTAACATTCTTCAGTCAGTTAAATAGATTGAGCTTCTTCAGTCTCTTAATTTAAAGGCAGGTAGCTCAGACCTCAAGTAAGTTCCTGCAGTTCTTTTCTGAACCCTTTTCAAAGGGTCAATACCCTTCAGGAATTGTGGTCACCAAAACTGGACAGCAGTAAATCTCAGTAATGTTGTGAAATACAACATGTCTACTTCTATTCAATACTCCCCTATTTATGCAGCCAAGGATTGTATGTGCTCAGTGACCAAAAGTGGATGTTCATACTTAATTCACTGCACACACAAACCCTTTCTAATTAATTTTCCAAATACAAAATACAACCCATGTCCCCCAAAAGCTCGCAGTCTAAGATGATAAATATCTGAAAGCAGTGTTGTTGGGAAAACATTGAAGGAAAAGAGAAAACCTCAAGGAACCTAATTGATATACAGCCAGCCATTACTAGCAGCCAGTTTCTTGAAGGTATCATGCCCTAAGCAGGTCTAGGAGATGTAAGGTGAGAATTATGGTCTTGTAATCAATGGCATCCAGTATGAGAAATAACAAAAGAGAACACGAAGACATTTGCAGAAGTTGACCTACAGATACCTGAGGCTATACTGCTGGTTGACAAGAAGGCAACAAGAGAACAAGTGTGGAAAAGAAAGGAGAAACAGACCAGTGAGGGACCTGCAGGGCAAGGACAAGAAACAAAGTTAATACACTAGAAAACGAATAAGAAATCAAAGGTTTGGGGTTGAGAACGCAGTAACAGGCAAGAAAGAGGATAAATTTTACAGCTAGGGTTGGAAAGAATGGAAGAAAGGTGATGTGGTTGTCAGGGAGACCAGCACTGGTCCAATGACTTCAATGTTTCCATTTCAACATTTCAGATCACTACATCTAGGAACTATGCAATGTGAGGCAGCTGAGATTCAGTTTTCTACTACTGTACACAGGGCTGGAAAAAGCATATTGGAGACCCAGTACATAAACACAGATACAAAAAAACCCATAAGAACCAGGGTCACACACAACAGGGAGGTCCACCAGCAAGACTGGTGAGAAACCTAGCTTCATGTGACACCCAACTAGAAAGAGGGAGATTGTCAGGATTTTGGATGTTATTGCTATTCTTATATCCAATTTGGGAACTCCCTATTTCACATCAGACTCTAGCTAGTAGGCACCTTACAAAACTGAACAGTCAAACAGAATTCACTCAAATGAGAAGGGGCTTACTTCTACTAGCCTATCACTTCTGTATCCTCTACCCTTTTCTTTTTTAATCCTCACTCTCTTAACTCCACTGCCTGCTTCTGCAGTTGCTCAGAGGTTTCCTAAGTAGCAGCAGTATAAACAGATGTGATTCCTGACAGTTTCATTATTGCCCCAAAATATCTGAAGGACAACATTAAAACTGACCAATCTTGTCAAGCTCACTAAATTATTATCAGAAAACATATGAACAGCAAAGGAACTCAATTTTCTATAAGCAAATTCAGGAAGACAGCTTGGCCTTAATTTACAGTCAGTTCACATCTGTCTATAGTTACAATACCTTAAACTTTTCCCCCCCTTTTAAATGAAAGCTTAAATCATGCCCAATTTGACGAAATTCCCTCACTCATCAAAAAGTTAGTGAAATTTGCAAATACTGACTGGTCAAAAAGTAAGGGATCATAAAATCAAGATATTTAAATCACCATGTTGCATTTCTTTCCATCACTTCCAAAAAGGTTTTAGTCATATCAGTAATGTAACTGGAACCCTGTAGCTCCTTTGAAATATGAGAACCTCAATGGCCCATGACAATTCTGGATGACACTGTAAAAAGGAAACCACAGCAGAGGTAAGAGTACACCTTATTTAAGTTTTAGGGAACTTCTAAATGATTTTATAATATTGACAAAAATAACAATACCAACTAACAAAAATTGGAAACAATATTTAAATCACTGACAATCCAAAAAGGCTTTTCCACACATATACATGGGAATCAGAAACCTAGGATAAGAAAAATCATCAAAACGTTAGCTAGTTAAGAGGCACCAAACTTCCTAGGCCCCTGAGGTGGATCCAGACAACAAGGCTCCTCATGGGCCAGATCCAAACTCACCTGCAGAGGAGGGGTGAGGGGGGAAAGCAAGCAGAGCTATATAGGCTAAGGGAGCAACAAAGCTGTTAGTCACCTCCCTCTCCTGCCAAAATACATCCTCTATCTCCATACCCCAGATTTCAGTAAAGGCTCCTGCCCTGGCATCCCCAGGTCTCCACAGCTCTACCAGCCATATCTCTGACACCCCTTAGTCCATCTCCCAGCAGCACAGCAGGTTAAGTAGACACAGAAGATCCTTGACAGCTGTCTATCCTGTTTTTCTAAACCTCCAATGAATGAGATTTCACAACCTCCCTAGGAAGCCTGTTTCTGTATTTTACCACCCTTATAATGAAGTTTTCCCCTACTACCCAACCTAAATCAGCCTTGCTGCTTATTAAGCTCATTTTTCTTCTCCTACCTCCAGTGAAGATGGAGAATAGTTAACCACTATCCCAGTTACTTCCTGGGAAGAGTTATGGCCGACCCCTGGAACAGCACGTGTTCTAGAACAAATTCAATTTTTCACCCTTTCCTAAAGGTTTCTCTAAACCTACTGACATTTTTGTTGCTCTTCTTGGGACTCTCTCCAATTTGAAAGGGTACATAGAAAAAGATTCACTATCAGCATGGTGTTTTTAATCATCCTGCTTATGGCACAATGCTCTAAAGCCCAAACAGAATAACTTAAAATGGAACATGCTATGACCCAGCACACATTTCTTTTCAGAATCACTTAATGCTGACTCAACAACACTGGTAATCCTATATCACGATATAGAAACTTAACAGGGCTTTGACTGTGTTCTCATTTGCAAAACACATTTCTTAAGAAGCTACTTTCCACTTTTTTCATAGTAAACAAAATATTTGTATGAAAACTTTGTTTTGGAAGTTTTAAAGATTTCTCTTAAATAAGTATAAACATTTTACCAATTCCATTTGGTAACTAACCAAAAAATATTATCTGGGGATGTGATAATAGGAAGAGGCTCATACTGGTTTTATAGTCACTTTCACTTTCGAACACTTTAATCCCCCAGTTTATATCACCTTGCTGTTATATTTATGTAAAAGATAATCATCTTTTCCCCTGCAAGTTCAGAAGATGAACTTTGCTAAACTTACTATGCCTGATCCACCCACACATTCTTTCATTCGTAATTCTAGTAGTTTCACAGAAATTTCTTGTATCCAGAAACGGCAGTCCCGCTAGAAGATAAAACCTCCGCGAACAGAAAGGGCTTTCTTAAAAAGGCAACTGCCTTTTCAACATTAGTATTTAAACCGATTGAGCACCCATCTTCCCTTTTCCGAGGGGATTCTACTTTCGCAGTTTCAAAGCAACTTGCTCTTATGCCAAAAAATGAACATCTTGCTCAGTGGTACTTGAACACTGCGTCAAAATACACGTCCAGCTCAGACACCCACTACTGTTAAACACCGTGGCTTATGTAACTAGAACGACAGCAAGGGCTGAGTCAGGATGAGATGGACAAGTTCAAGCGCTGGAACTTCAGTTCCAGTGAGCTCGAACGCGGGCACTTGGCTGGCAGGTGGCAGTTTGCAGGAGTGGGAGGGGAGGGAGTAACATTTCATTAAACAAGTCCTCAGAGAGTTTCCTTGGCTGCCTGGACAGGAGGACCATCGTAGGAAGCCCAGGCTCTTAGAAGTGCCAGAAACTGAAGGCCAAGAAGGTAGAGACAGGTGTGGGCTGGCCATGGTAGGACCTGTTGGGAGTGACTGTGTCTGTCAGGCCATGGAGAGGCGCCTCCTGCGGGCTCCGCAGAGTTTTTGCCCCCGTGCAACAGGCAGACGGATGCGGGAGCAGGCAGAGGGCAGCATTGCCGCGCCCCACCCGGGGCCATTTCCTCGTTTCTGTCCGTATGGCACGGAGCTCCCCCGCCCGCCCACCCACCCACGTGG